TATGTGCTAAGCAGATCTTTAAAGACTTTGGGTCACAGGCTCCTTCCTAAGTAAAAGAAAACTATGTACTGTTCCTGTTCAAAATTACATGCTGCCTTCTAGGTCTATCTTTTAAAAATCCTTGTGTCAGCCTGTACATTCTTTAATTTACAGTCATAATGAAATAGTGATTGTGAAATGCTGCCTTAAATTAGAAAGACAGCTGACTGCCATGTTTACATCCTCAAAACCTTAACTAAAAAGACAATTTGAAGTCCAAATAATAGCTATAATAATGCCATTTTTGGTTTTTATTAGCTGTTGGAAAACATGACTGAAGTTGTTAGGAAAGGGATACAGGAAGCACAACTTCAGCTTCAGAAAGCAAATGAAGAACGACTTCTGGAAGAGGTAAGACTATAAACATTGATTATCTGGGTAACTTGAAAGAACTTGTCACAGCATAGGTCCCTTGCTCACTGGCCAGTGTTTGATTGTGCACTCTGCAGGGACTGCTACGACAAATACCTGTAGTCGGCTCTGTGCTGAACTGGTTTTCTCCATTCCAAGCCTCACCCAAGGGAAGAACATTTAACTTAACAGCAGGTAGGATCACATCACAGTGCATCTGCAGGTGTTGTCATTAGAATCATTTCCAATTTTATACTAAAATTGCAACACACTTCCTTGTGCTGATTTGATCATGAGTGACATAATCCACCCTCGGGATGTGAAAGAACATGCTCTTCACTGTTTCTGTAATACCCACTAAGACGGTCTAACCTCACTTGGGCAGTTTATGTTTTGTTCTTGCGTGTTGAGTCACACTAAAAAAAATGTATTAGACATTGGCATTTATTAATAGAGGAATCATTTCTGTGACTTTTGGCTACATATGCTGCACAAGTTTGGTGTTTATGCTGTGTTTATAAATATGTAAGCTAGCAGAGTAGCTCAGGTCTTAGAAGGTTGCTTCCCCACATAGGTGCACATCTATCCTCTCGAGTGTGCTTGCCAAGTGGCGCTCGGATGTTCCGCTGTGCTACGGGAACTTGATGTCTCTGAAATCCTGGTTTGAGATCATCTGGCTATTGCCACACTGATAAAGTGTGAGTTTGCATGTGAAATAGTGCAAACTCTGACAAGGACAGGCTAAAGCTAGCTGTGGACTAGTGTGACCCTGGCTTTGTGGGAGACCAAAATGAATGGAATATTACAATGTAAAAGACGATTAACTTACTCATATATTTGTAATTCATGTCTGGTGATGTGAAAAGAATCCTCTGTAGCTTTTACATAATTAAGACTGATGTACTAGCATAATACTTTCTGAAATTACAAATTTTCACTGTAAAAATTCTCGCAGTCTTAAGAATATTCCTGAACTCAGCAAACTGCCTGTCACACCTAGAACAATAGCCCAGCTGTCTGTGTGCCTCTGTGAACAGTCAGGAAGGCTTTCTGCTGTATTTGGGGTCTTTCTTTTTGATTCTTGATGCACCAACTGGGAGGTTCTTACAGCAGAGAAAAGCAAGGCTTCCTTGGGAATCCTTAACCCCTCCCCCAGGCACTGCTCAATAGCTTGCGGCTGGGAGTATGTCAAGTACCTAGTGGAGATGGGGGGAAAAGGACTGCGGGGTGTAGCCGAGCTGTGAAGTGAGCGAGAGGGAAAACTTTATTCATCTTCCTAAGTCAGCACTCCTGGCCCTGGGTACTCAGAGCAGCACCAAGTAGCAGTTTCAGCTTAACATAGCACATACAGTTTGAGAAATGTGCATTAGCAGTAAGATTGTTACATACCTTATAAATGCAGATCAGCATAAAACTTGTCTAGTTTGTGTTACATTCAACTTGATACATTTTTTTAAACCTGCAGGCTCTCTAGAATCCACAGAATCTACATACCTATCAAAAGCCCAAGGTACAGGCACTACCCCACCACCAACTCCTACTTCCAGCCTTGCAAAGCAAAGACTTCCTGGTAAGTTCTAACATCATAGTTTTATTTCTAAAACATCCTGCCATCTGAGTTGCATGACATGGGAAGATCCACATGATTTTCCATCTTTCATAGTATGTGGAACTAGAGCTCATCTTCTAGTGCCTTAAGTCTGCCTTAAAAACCCTTCATTTAAACATGGCATAGAACACCACCCCAGTCTGTTTTCTCCCCAAGAATTCTTCCTGGGACTACAGGAAGTTATCATCCCATTAACTGGCAATTGCCCATGAAGTCTGGAATCTTCATCTGGAATATTATGAGATTATTGAGTTTTAAAAATTAGCAGGTAATTAAGCCAAAAGTTTTGTTTGAAAGAAAAGAATAAATAATATATAATCATGTATTTGAGCAACTGCATTTCTGTTGCTGCCTGAAACTCTGTGGACAAAGTCACTTTAAGGTGACTGTAAGATCTGTTAAGTCTATGGCACTTTCTGTGTAGTTTTATTAATAATTAATGTTGATTTGACTGGCAGGAAACCCATAGTTTTAACTCAAAAGGTGAGCTGGTTGACTTCCAGCCTGTGATTTTCAGTGCAAGTTTTTACCCCAGGATGACTTCACTGTGCACGTAGGCAGCTTGTTTTTCAGCTGAATTTTAACACTCTCTGTGTAAACAGGATGAAATAACAGGCGCTACTGCCTTGCATATGTATCTGTAACTGCAAGGAAGTATGTCTGTTTAGGGTGCCAGTTAGTACCCAAATAGAATCTCTTTGCAGCTGTAAGAATCAGATACTTTCTTTGAAACTTAACTCGTGCATACCACATCTTTTACTTGCTGTCTTCACTGGTACTGTATTTTTCATATACTTCACAGGTCAGAGAATATTTAAAAGATCTCTAAGAAGTTCTGATGCATTCAGTGAGACCAGTTCAGTCAGCCACTGTGATGACCTGGAGAAGATGGATCAGAGACCCCCACCTCTGTCCCCTGGCCAAGAGCAAGGACCTCTGGAGACAGAAAAAGCAGAGGAGCAGAAGGAGGTAACAAAGACAGACACTGAGGACATTCAAAGTGACAAACTGCCACCTGATTGCACAAAGGTAGAGGAACAAGAAAGTCAAAGATAAACAGACTGTGGATTTCAGACTTTGCAGAGAAGCCTGTGCCCTGGGAGGCTGGGTGTTAATGATGCATTTGAAATGTGAACAGTGCCACACACTAATACAGTAATAACTACTGTAACTTATTAACTGGGATTTTGCACAAATATAAATTCCTCCCCTCCCCCCATGGGACAGAGATTTGTCTTATTGTACACTTGTTACAGTTGCTTTAATCTTCTACATGTCAGTGTCACCAAAGTTCCTGTGAAATTTATCAAGTGCTTATAAACATTTGTAAAAACAATTGGCAGTTAGCCTTCCTGTAGGAATCTAAGCATGATGATAGTTGCTAACTAACCAATCAGCCATACACAAAATTCAAAATACAGTTGCACCCAATAGTTCTAAAATGATCTTATGTTAAATCACCTGCCAATGGTTCGCCTTTTTTATATTTAAAATTCAGTTTAGCCTCTTCTGCAAAACATCTACTGAAGTCACACTAGCTCTGGTTTGCTTATTTTTAACCTTATAAAGAACCTTGCCAAACAGCTGTGGTGTGGTGAGTGGTAGGGAGGGATGCCCATGTATATAGGAGTCACTGATAGTACTTTGCCATCAACCATTTTTTTTCCTGCTGCTGAATGACCTGAGGGGTTCAGCTAAGGCCCTAGGAACAGTGGGGACAGAGTTAATGAGCTTTGAGCCTTCTAGAAAGAAGTAGTGCCTCTGCATGCCTGAACGGCTTCTTGCTTCTGCCACTGGGAGGAATCACCAACGCACCCTTTTCCTTTGCACGCCATTTATAAACCAAATGCTATTGAACACATTTATGTAGTGTAACTGGTTCTTTCTGTTGTGTATTTTTAAAGATAGTTGTAGTAAAGCTTAAGAAAACAATACATTTGTGATGGTTTCAACACTTATTTTTTGAATAACAGTAACTTACCTATGGTAGGAATTGTACAGACTCAAAGAAATTATATAGGTTATTTACACTACAGCACAACTTCATAGTGTCTAGGACTACTTAATGCACAAGCAAAGCTTTGGATAAATCAGAAGCTAAGGTGTAGAAGTCTTACCCCCCCACACCCTGAATTATCTCAGTCACTTTGCAAATTTTCAGAGCCTCCTGTGGAAAGGAGATGTTTGGAAAAGCTTGCTTTCCCCAAGGTAGCCGATTTTGAGGAAAACCATCCCATCCCTATAGAACTGGATACAAGTACTGTAGTTTGCTTCATTTGGGTTTTGTTTGGGATTTTTTCCTCCCCCCTAAAAGGTATACGTTAACACCATAATGGCTGTAGTGGTAGCAGAACTCTGATAATCTGAAAAATCTGGGGTTTTTGAATTGTGCTGTCACCTGCTTTGACTCTCAGCTTCTAGACCCCGTGGGGTCAGGATCTAGAATGGAATGACATGAACGAGGTTAATTTTGCTGTTGGAGTAATTTATGTAAATCAGAGTGCAATTTTTCTAAAGTGCAAAAATAATTAAGTTGACTAGTCTTCCTTATTGGTTTCTTTGGTGCAATGAAGTATGTTAATAAGAGTAATTTGTTGGGGATAAAGTTATCACCACAAGGATTAATTTTTAATGTTTTTATATTTGGAAGTGTAAACCAGTAGTTTTGTTGGAATGAGCTTCATTCTTTAGATACTATCTGAATGTTTCAATAAAGATTCTTCAAATTATTACTCTTGAATTAAGTTACTGTTGAAGGATACTTTCCTACATTTCAGTAAGCTTTAAGTGTGTGCAACTTTCTTTCATTTTGTGTAGAAAATATTTTTCTAAAATACACACCTATGTAATCAATGACTTACCTTCTCAGTCTCTCGGCACTGCTACCTCTCTTTACCCAGGCCAATCAAATTACTGCATTGGAGCAATAGAATGTAAACAAAGCCAGATTCTTACTTCAAAATAGCAGTGATTCCTACATAAGGAGTGCAGAAAAAGCAAGTTACTTCTGTCAAAATATTTTATTTTGAAAAGCACAGGAACAATGGTATTTCTTTGTGACCAGCCAACATGCTTTTTACAACAAATTGCTCTTCTTGCAAGACTATACTTGACTGTACTAAAGCAGTTGTGCTGTCTGCTTCTAGGTTAGATCTTGTCAGAACAAACCTGTTCCCACAACCCTTCTTCATTTTTTTTGTAGATGCGAGGTTTCCTGTCAGGAAACAGGGAGCGAGATGGAAAGGGATGTTCTTTTAAAAATGTTAATGTGGATCTAATGTGGGAAACAAAGTGAGGTGGCTCAGCCAGGGGTGATGTGGAAAGATTCTGAAAAACAAGATGGGAGCAAGAGCTGTTTGACATTCAGAATACAAAGTTCTCAATTACTCTGCCTTTTTAGAAGACTATTTCCTGCCCTCCCCAGCAGTATAGTGGAAAAAGTTTTAACAGACCCTGCCCAGACAAAAAAAAAAGGTCACTTTCAGGTACCTGTAAAATCTGTTCATCATCTTGTTCCAACCAGAAATCCACGTGTGGGAAAGGCCTCCAGAAATAAGGCCCAATATGGAGTTGTTCCATCTTTGCATCATAAATGTTCGTCAGCTGCAACAACACAGGGAGCCTTAGGGGTTAGACAGTGCTTACACTGCGGAGAGAGCCAGCAGCTTCACTGCAGTGGGAAGGCCCTAAACCGCAGCTTCTGTGTGCCAGCTCTGCCCTGCTTCCTTCCTCAGGCATTCAGATTAACCAATTGTTCTGAACTGTAACAAACCCAGAACTGAAAGGTCCTGCTGGGGTTATCCCCGTGACCTGCCAAAAGCTGGGGGGGAAGAGCTGCGCTTCCAAGCCAAGGCTTAGCCCTGCAGAAGTGGTTTGATCACCACTGCGGTCCCTCACCTCTGCAGTGGTGATCACTCTTTCTCAGTGGAGTCCCTCTTTCTCCTGTGGTTTATTACTGACAGAAAACTACCAGAATATTTTTATCCCAAACTTTTGACAGGTCATTGCCCCTAACTGATCACCCCTTCTGGCAAAAAATACCCTTTTCCCCTGTTATTTTTACTCACCGTTGCTCCTGTTAAGACATGGGCTGAACGCAAATCCTCATCCGGCCCTTTTTCTGGGAAGGTTGCAGGAAAAATCTCTGCTGTTTTAACGTTCACAGCTGGTAGGAAATAGAGTTTAAATACAGAAACAATTAATTCTTACAAAACACTTGTTTAAAAGGACCACATCCCCAACACAACTCTGTTGAAGGCACTTTAGAACCAATCAACTACTATGCTTTTATTTCTCAGTACTACAGCCCCCTTTGCCTGTGATAGCATATTTCTACTTATTTTGCTTTGGCAGCATTTCAATATTCCAGAAGAACATTTTCAGATATACTGAATACTAATTAGATACTGATTAGAAAAAACACAGAATGAACAATGAAAGGAAGGTTGAATTCTAACCCCGAAGGTTGGTATGGTAGCTTGATACTGACAAAATCATAAATACAGTTAAATGAAAAAAATCTACCTGTATTTGTACACAACTACTTCCCCATGTGCATCCACCTAACTGTGGTGCCAGAAGAAAACTTCTATTTCTACCTACACTTCCCGCAGAAGCACTTTACCTTTAGGACAGGCTTTACCTGGTCATTAAAAGCAGCCTATTTACTACTGGAATCTGAAAAACAATCCAGTTACAAAAATATAACTGAATTCTAATTTAACTCACCTATTCCATAAATGATTGGAAAGTGAATATCGTTCTCTTCTCTGTCATTCAGTTCTGCAATAAATAAAAAGTGAAACTTGTAGGGCTTTGGATTTTTTTCTGAGTAGCTTTCATTTAGTTGTGTTATCAGAGAAGAACAGATCTGACGCACAGAGATAGAAAAAAACCCAAGGGAGCCTGAAATACGGAAAAGAAGGTACAAGTCAGTAACACCACATGTGGGGTCCGGAGTAGGACTCTCCATCTCCTAACAGCACATCCAGCTCCAGCCAGTGCTCACTCCCCTTGCTGCACAGGCCAGTCATAGAGAAAAACCCACAACACAAAATTACCTTGATGCTAAGTTTCAAAGATGTAAATCATCAACAGTGTTGAAATGCAAAGATGATGGAAATACAACCTGAATGTGACATGAAAAGGAAATGACTTTGCCCTTTATGAGGCATCACACACCATGAACTAACTGACTGAGTTTCTGAATACATTTGAGCTGGGGGGGAGGCAGGTCATGGGTCTGTAAGTGCCCTTTCTCAACTGCCTCTTCTAAGAGATCCGTAGCCACGCAGCCTCCTTCCACAGGCCCAAGGGGGCAAAATAACCTGGTAATGATCACAGGTGGCTCTACTATCAGTTGTACTTCAGCAGCACTTGGTAAGGAGAGACCCTCGCTGCATGGTTTATTTGACATCACCACACACACTACCAGCAACAAAACTAAAAATTACATATCATTATGGAGGACTAGTGGTGTTCTTCTTTACAAGACAGATTAAAAAAGCCACATGTGAGAAGACCCCTGCACTTTGATTTCAGTGGCTGAAGATGCTGCAAAAACCAAGGAGACATTTTCTTACCTGTTACGCAGAAAGTCACTAAATGAACATCATCTGGTTGGAGATCGAATGCTCCTACAGCAACAATGACAGCAGCAATGTGTAAGACTGACTGGTGGCAAAGCAGGTGCTGTATCTAGACGAGGGGGCATTATCAGTGCTGCGCACTGCAGCACAACTGGGCACAGATACCTAACGCACTGTTCCTAAATAAGGCAACAGAGCAAAGAGCATTTTGCAGATTTACTTCAAACTAACTTTTATAAAATTAAAGCCACAGCTATTAAACGTAACAGTAATTTACAGAGAGTAGCCATTTGTAATAACAAATACATGCTAGAAGTGGTGTGCCGCTTACTCCTTTTACAGCCACTGGTTTAGCTCTGCCATCACATCAGCTCTGCTTTAGTTCACTACATATTTAATAGCTTATCTTTAAATCTGTTTTCCTAAAATGTTACATATATAGTGAGCAAACCCAGTCTTTCATTAGCTGTAAATTAATTCTGCTTTTCACCACCCCACACACTAGAAAAAAAAAATGTATTTTTTTTTCAAAGTTCTACTAGCAATACAGTGTTACTGTTTCAAATTGTAACTTGATGCATGAAAGATGCATCAGAAGGTTGAAAAAAATAAATTAACCAACACACTTTATTCTGTACAGAAGTCTCATGCGGCATGTAGCTCAGGTAACAGGGTCCCTCGGTGCAATGGCCATGCGGATGCCTCCCAGGACCTCTGCCAGTTCCATTTTCCTTTTTGTTTATCCCCTTGGCCACCTCCCTCCAACCCTGCCATCCACCCCTGCCCGGCCCCTTCCCCGCTCTGGGGCCAAGGCCCCTCCACACTCAGGAAGCGCTCAGCACAAGCCAGAGCACTTACAGATAAGCAGGTCCTTTAGGTCTCCGATTTGTAAAGCACTGCAATCACTTCTCTGGACTACAGAGTTTATCAACAGACATAACATCTTCCATCAGACAATTCCAAACAATAATTAAACTTTACCTCATCACATTAAGGTACGAAATGAATAGTAACTAATGAAGTCACCCACATGTATAGATTTATACAGTGACAACACTTGACCAAGATCACGTGGTGTATCGGCAGCAGAGCCAGGAATCGAGCCCAGCTGAACTGCACACCAGCTCTATACACTAGAATATAAACCAGGAAAAAATTACAAGTTTAGACCCTCTGTCCCGCACACTGGCCATATGTGAGCCTCAGAACTCCAACCCCTCTCCACACCAAGTTCTCAGGTAGAGAAAACACCCTTCAAAACAAATCCAGATTTCTTTCCATTAAATGTCAGGGGGCTCAGATTACAAACAAACCCTACCCAAATCCAGTTAGAACTATTTTTTTTGGACATGAGAGTGGAAAAAATGTGAACTTACTAAGAAGCTGATTAGTAAGTTTTTGTGATAACTGCCTATCATCATTGAAACCTCCAACTAGGTGCACTTCCAGCCTAACAGAGATGGAATAACAGGAAACAGCAATTAAAAAGACAAAGTGAATAGCTTTACAAAATAATCCCCAGCCCAAACTGCAAAGCAATCATTAGAGAAGCCTCACTTGTTACAGTAACATGCACCAAGTTGGTTTGCATTACACAGCAAGCTACGGTAATTCCATTCTGAACACTTCAGAGATCATTCAGGAATTAGCACAAATTAAAAACTTTAAGAGGCATTACATGCATGCAATTCTATCTAACCCAGTGGTACCTCAAGTGGTCAGCACCTCTGGTTTGGATAAACTTAGTAACCACCTTTCAGTTCCCAATAAAGGGTTAATTAAATGAAGATTTTTGCTCCTGTGACCTCCTCACAACTAGTCTGGACCATACAGCAGGGTTCTTCTCTGAGAAGTGTCTATGTAAAGACAAGTCCTGACAAATCACGTATTTTGTGAGACTATCTTCTAAATTCATTGAGTTTTTGTTCTTACCAAACTACAGGGGCAAAAACCTCCACATCCAGAAGAACCTTGTTTGCTAAATTCCACTTCAGAGCTTTTTTTCCCCACTGTCCTGTCCGACCTTGTGTTTGTTTTTTTTTTTCAAATGTGGGACTTAGAAAAATCACAGATGGACTCTCAGATTCCAAAAGGAATTTACAAGACCAACAGTGTGGAAGGAAAAATATAACATAAAACCAAAAAAATTTCTTTGAAAAATTTTGCACATCTGAAACAAAAGTTAGTTGGGAAACAGTAAACACAAAACCTCACAATGGCATTTTACAGAGACACTATTCAGAACAGAACCATGCTTTAAACCACTACTAAAAATACCCTCAAAATCATCATCAAGGAAATAATTTTCACTTTACATGTGGCACCTGATCAAGAATTATTTTCTGCACAATTGCCTTGTCTGAACCCCATATAATCACATAAAAATTCCCCATCTTAGAAACCACTGTAACCTTTGTGAAAAACAGCACACAGGAAATAAGAGCAGAGCTGACCTTCCATATTCTGTGGTGTTAGAGAAAGATTTGACTGAACTCATGATGAGTGACACCTCAGCTTCTGTGTCAGATCCGTCACAGTGTGTCAAGCAGGTGGCTCCACTGCCTGAGGAAGACATAAGAGCATTAGCTAATGACACTGCTGGAGGCTGTTATGCTACTGTAATTGAAATCACTAAGGGTTTACACTGCTATGGTGGTGTAAGAGCCGGATCCACCACCCCCTTGCTTCCTCCCAGGACAGCAGCCTCCTGCAGGAGATAGGGGCTGACTGACCGAGGCAATAACCTCTTTGTGTGCCCCGTTATAAAGTCACCCGAACTCACATGAAGGGTACAAGTGCCATCTTAACCAGGACCAGGCAACATCCCTCATGTCTGAAATCCAGGCACGTAGCGAGGATCTCTCCATAAATTCTTCCTCTGTTACTACCAAACCCTGCAGACCCAAACTGCTGAACACAGCCAAGGTCTGCAGCTGCCACTGTCCGCTGGCCACATGAGCAGATCGAGTTGAGGATCTGCTCACTGAGCAACCAGGACGTGGAACCTCTGACACTAAATACGCCAACTCTTTGAACAAGTCATTTAGTTAATACATCATGTGACTTTGAGATTCAAGTTCATATAAACGTAACTGCAGTTATTTTATTAATGCAGCATAAACCAACACTGATTTGTTACTCCAGGGGTACAGGTTTTGTTCTGCACATCCTTTAAAGATACCTGTGTGTCGGAGCACAACTATGTGGCAGGTTGTTGCATCATCTGATCCAAGAATGGAAACAGAACCTATTTTAAAGGAGAGAAACATTGTAAGAACTCTGGTCTCACAATGGCTGCTTCAGTAGAAGAATAAGTATTTCTGTTCCCACATACCATCTTTAGGGGTAGTCACTGCAAACTCTCTCTGCTGGACATACAGAAGACCTTTGGGTTCCACCATTTGAGCAGGCTGACTTCTCAAAAGTTTTGCCTTTTCCTAAAGATAAATGATAATAGAGACTACGGTGGCTGAATTCTCAGGTGTATCTGTTACTTGATAGAAACATCACCCCTGAAAAGCAAATGGATCCAGGCCAGATAGAAACATAGGTATTTTGGATTATGGAGTATTCTGAATTTTGAGAATTTTTTGCTTTCCTGCCACTGATCTAGTTAATTGTTAAATCCCATCATTCCACAGACACACAAAACCCTTTTCCCTGCTTTACAAGTGATAAAATGGAGGTATAACAAAACCCAATAAGACTTAGCAAAGATTACATTAGGCAATACCAGAGCTGATCTTGGAAGTTTAATCAGGACATGAAAGATTAAATGTAAAAGTTTAAATCTTCTACTGACACAATCCAGCATATTTATTTAGTACTTCTCAAAATATCCCTATTTATTAGCTTGCTTAGTGCATGGAAAACCCTGACCCCTGTTACAGACCTGCTAGGTAGGCAGTAAATTTCCATCCTGGAGCTCAAAAAACACTTCACAGTTTTATCAAATTTGCACTGGTTTTCTGCAAAAACTCAGTTTCTATAAAGAAGCATCTTCTGACGAGAAACATCTTCCCAGCCAGCTCTGCTTTACAGTTCCTGGCTCAGAGTCCACCGTTAGGATTACAACATTTATATACTCAAAGTGAGGTCAATATCCTCCTAAAAGTTGCTATCTTGACGTCTACCACCAGTTTTTGTTATTTCGCACAGGAAGGGGTAGCTGGGCCCGGCCCGGCCGCGCACCCGGGAAGGCAGCGGCGGCCCGCGCAGCTCCCACCGCGGCCGGTCACTCTTCGCCTCAGTGTGCTGACCACGAAACCCCTCCGGGGACGTTGATTTTACCGACGGCGATTTTACTTTCAGTCAACCCGCGTCTCTTCGTTGTTACGACGCAGGGAACGCGACGGTGCCGGGCCGCCCCGGGGCGGGTTCCCTCAGCTCGGGCCGCCTCAGTCCGCGACCGCCCCTGCCCGCGCCGCCTCAGCCCGGGCTCCCTCAGCTCGGGCCGCCTCAGCCCAGGGCCGCCCCCTCCCAGGCTACCTCAGCCTGGGGCCGCGCCTGCAGCCCGGGGCCGCCCGTTTCGCCCGGCCAAAGCGGCGGGTTGCCTGCCGGGCGCCGCCGCCTCCTCACCTCGAGGTGCGGGTGGGCGCGGATCACGTCCCCCGTGGGCCGGGCCAGGTCGATCCGCTCACCGTTAATCAGCAGCGGCATCTCGGGGAGCGCCCGGGCCCGGGGCAGGCGGCGGCGACTCCGCGCTTTCCTCCCGAGGCCGCGCCGAGCCGGGCGTCGCCGCGCGGGGCGCTGGGAAGGCGGCGGCGGCGGCAGCGGGAAAGCGGGCGGGGAGCGGCGGCACCGCCCGCGGGGCGCCCGCAGCCGCGGCTCAGCGGGGGAGCTCGGCCGCCCCGGGGTCCGGGCCCTGCCCAGCCCCGCAGCGGTCGCCGCCCGACGCGGGGTCAGAGGCGCGGACAGAAAACAGGCCCGGTCCTGTTACCGCCTAACGATTTTAACACGTTAACGTTGCAGGAACCCTCCCAGGTCCTGAGACTGCGAGATTATCCGCAAATTACTATAAGAAACCATTTTGGAAATAACCCTGATAAAGTCACAACTTTACAAATAAACCCACGCTACTATCCTCCCCCCACCGGCAACCACAAGACTAAATTTTCAGTCCCAAAGACAGCACTTTTTCCTTACATACCAGGGGTTTTTCCTCTAGTTGTCCATGCATGAATAGTAAGAAAAGCAAGCGTTGTAGCAGCAGAGTTAAATTCAGCCCACAGGGAGAGAGGACAGCCAGGGCACCGGGGCCTGTTCACAACCAGCAGACAGAAAAAACCCTGATACCATACTCTGACTTTCCAATCAGAGTTTCACAAAAGTAAACAGCTACAGCCAGACACTGTCTTCAAAAGATACATTGTGCCTCTCAGGCAAGGCAAAATTTCCACCTCCAAATCAGCATTCCTCTCAATACTGTTGGTATTTACAGAACAAAGTCTCTCCAGTGAAATGCCAGCACCTGCCAGCTCACCAGTCTGCAACTACAGCATATAAACTGGGTTTATCACAGAAGAGGTTGCACTGTAGAGTTCCCACTTGAATCTTTATATTCAGCAAGTCCCTTTAGTACACCAATGTTAATTGTGCAACTTCAGTACAGACAGTTCCATGTCTGCACATTTTTTAACGTTATACTTGACATCACTTATGTCTTTCATTTTTCACTTACAATAGAGACATAAGTTCCTGAATCACATACCTGCTGTTACAACTCGGGAAGTTTTACACAGCCTAATTTTATAAGAAGTAGCTGACTATGTTGTTAAAGAAATAACAGGGAAAGAACAGAAAAAGACAGCTTTCAAAGGATGTTTTCCTTGCTGTTGATGTGAGGAGGGTTCTTCCATGCCAGGAGACAATGCAGTTACTTCAGATGGAAATCTTTTTATTACTCAGGACTAACAGTAAAGAGGACCAAAATTAAAAACAATCTCTCAATTTATCCAACAATGAACAGATCTACTGATGCATTTTGCAATATTATCCCGAAAAGTCAGATTTGCAGTCTGTCTGAACAAACACCCTAACTTTGAGAAACTATAGAGAGAGATCCTTAGTTACATACAGGGATGTGTTTTTAAAGAGGTGTAAGAACTGCACTGTTTGCATCAATCTTTATTGGCTCTGAATAAAATTGTTGTCTTGAAAGCCTGCAAGTTCAGAATCTTAACAAGGACAATTAGAGTTTAGTCCCAAATGCGTAAGGTTTTCAACTAAATGTTACACAAATAATATTTTTTTTTCCACTGTCTATATTCTTACTCAAGTCTAAAAGCCAGCAATCACGAAAAGACAAGAAACCTATGCAAAGAAACTCTACACTGACACATGGACAACACAAGGACACCAGTGACACCATCACTTCCTTTCCACAAGGGAAGATTGTTTTTGTATTTCCAGCATTCACATATAAACTTCAAATCCTGAAAATAAATACCTGTCTCAGAGTGCTTCACAAGCACCCCAAAGAAAACTATCTACAAATCATACCTTCAGCTACTCTGTCATTTTCAACACTTCCAACATTCATCACTTTTACAAGTATTAACTTTCATAACTGGGAAAGTTGTGTCAGCTACAGATTTAAGAAGCCATGACACTTATCATGTGAACACACTTTCCATTATCAAGTGGCTTTCCCAAACACCATTCCACAGACAAGAAAAGCTTAAGAGAAGTGTGCAAAAGAATCACTGTCAGATTTGATTCACGGCTTCCTTATTGTGGGATCACACCATTACTCTGAAACCAACTCAAAACCAATACTGACAAAGGGAATTCTGGTCCCCACACAGATCAGTAGGAAGAAAGACCAGAATTTCACCCCTGGTATATAAAACCTTGTAGAGAAACATTAGTAAACAAAGTTTTTAAGAGTCAGAAAAAACTATAGAAAATCCTTAAAAAACATTTCAATGTGAAATTTGTAAAATATCCTATTTATTCTCTAAGCTTTTCTAGCAACATATGACTTTATCATAATGTATCTGTAGAAATCTAATGATTAAGAAACAATAACTTTTCTTAAATGTAGTTACTTCAACATTTGCCAGTTTGGAAAGTTGGGCTAAAGTCTCTTTACAGAGCAAGAAATTGCACACAATTTTCAACCTTTTCACTTCCGATTCTCCATGTCACTGAGGGTATGGCACAGAACAGTCTGGAGGGGAGCCAATGCTGCTCACTGGGCTCCGGGTATTTGACTCATAAGAATTTGGAGCAATTCCAACCACACCATCATTTTGAGGGGTTTCTCCTTTCAAAAAGTCATCATCTTCATCTTCAGAAGTACCCTGCATAAATTTAAAAGGATCAGTGAGAGCAGAAAGATACACCAGGCCTATTAAGATTTGACAGAAGTAATGAATGGTGAGACCAAAAAGGGTATTTCTAAAATAAATTCTGAAATGTCGCAGTAATCAAATCTGCTATCAAAATGCTACAGAAAAGTTTATAAAGTTACCAGTTAACAAAGCTACAACACATTAAATTATTTTTACAAGTTATCACAGGAAGGAAAGTAAAGGACTCGGAAATCTGACATAGGATCGACATTCTGCAAGAAGGTAAACAGACTACACAGGAGATTTAGAAGGACGTAATTCAGGATTTGGGTTGTACTACAACTGTCATGACTAGTTGGAACGGTAAGAGAATTAGGAAATATGGGTTCTAAATTATATCTACAAAGTGGATTCCCAGTGACATCAGCATGTCCATATTCTGAGAGCGTTCATAAGCATTCACCAGCGGTCCTGTGCTGCCAAACTAACTCCTCCGCAGAAGGAGAAAAGCGTTCTCAAAGCAAGGATGGATCAATCCCTAAATCTTCCTAATTTCAGTCACAGTTTCTCCTAAATGTTTAGTGTACTCATATCTAGTAAAAAAAAATTAATCCTGCAATAGGAGCAGCCGATAGAGATTTGGCAAAAGTTGAACTGAATTTTGATCAAAAAAGATTACCTTTTTAATGGGTTTCTTTAGATTCTCAAGATCTTCAGCACTCAGCTCTTCCCAAAACTGATAAAAAGGTTCAATAGTTTTCTTCGATCTGAAAGGAATTAAAACACATTATGAGTTAATGTATTCAGTAAAGTCATATGTATTTCTTTTTAATAATACAATATAAAATGCTTGGCATTTTTATAGTCCTCTGAAGGGTTTTACAGACTATTCCATTCATCTCTATATAATCCCCAATTAGTTGCATTAAGCGGATAGGTATAAATTACAATTGTTTGCTTGAGAAGTTTTGATACAGTCAGGTCTCCTAATTCCTAGCTGGGTATTTTTAATAGTTACACTATGCTTGTTTGCAAGCATAGTTTTCTTCCAAATTTGTGAATATAATATCAACAATCTTATTATTTATTAATATAATTATACAAGTAAGATTATAGTATATATCACTTAATACTATACATTATTATAACTAATATTAATAATTTATACTTCTAATGAAGGTCTCCCTTCTGTGGAGTCTTTTTTAAGAGACAAAAAAAAGCCAGAATGTTGCCCTCTAACATTAAAAAGTGATTAAAGCATCATAGTGCTAGACATTTTGAAAACCTGCAAACGGTCCACTATTAATTTTAAAAGCAAGATATTTTGGATAAGCTCAAGTCTCCAATCAAGGAGCAATACACTTAAAGTGCAAAACACCCAACCCAAAACAAAAAGACACCACCACAAATCCAACAAAATATGTATTAGGCTAACATCATGATATTTTACCAGTGGCTTAAAACAAAGAAAACCAAAAGAAAAGTCACCAAACATATTAACTAGACCTTCCACAAAACTGGGTCCTGTTCCTTCTTCATCACTCTATGTCACAGTGGGGGTAGACTGCAATTCAAACCTTTGACAATCTCTGGTTACAATACGCAACATGAAAGGTACTGAAGATCAGGGAAGAAAGTGAACTGCAGAAACATTGACATTTTCTTACAGTTTTAGTTCATTATTTTCTACAAGGCAGAAATGAGTTATTTTTAAACTATACCTTTTAAGTATGTAGGGATCAAAGGGGAAGAAACTATCAAGTGGGTTAGTGCATGTATGCACAAGGTCACCCCCAGTGCCACTCCGAACAACTGGTATAAACTGCCTGTTGTTCCTCTCAATAATTGTGTAGCAGAACACCAACTGATACTTCCTTTAAAAAGGTAATAAAAAAAAGATAAGCATTTCCAGCACACCAAAAGCAAGAATTTCAGATGGTATTAAAATACAAAGTTATTTTTTAACAAAATAATTTCTATCTTCCATTTTCTAGCTGATATTAGGAGTTTTCAAAAGGTAAGGAGTCTATTCCTCTACACTCTTATAAACTTCACTCCAGGTAGAATGATATTGGCTCCAACGCAAAGCAATCATTTTCACAGTACTGTAGAATTTCACTGAAACTGAACCAGAAATAAACTTATCCCCCCTAGAACATGGGCGGTTACATGAGTTGTCTTACATAATACCGTGCCTAGCAAAACCCATGTTCCAAGTACTGTGCTGTTTTTAGATACACACACACAAATACTTGTATCGAGCGGAAACTGAATAAGTAGGTACCTGGTAATGGCAGCAAACAAGTTCACAACAGAGGATATACAAATCTTCAGGGGGTTTAGCTGACACATGACAATGCGCTCAAAATTTAAACTCTGCAGATACGACAGACCTTGAAAATAAGAACGATTTACAAATATAGGTTATATGTGATGTAAGCTGAACTTAATTTCTAAGAATTTCCAGTCTGACCAGCCTGCACTCTGCACTCCACCACAGAAGCGCAACCTAGGGTGCTTTCTTACAGTAGAGATCTAGCCCACCGTTTGTTTAGCAGAAAGCTACTCTAAATAACAGTAACCTGTCACAGCCAAAGGATCCTTCTACCATACACTACACTTACACACTCATTACAGGGACTAGCAGAGGCATAGAGTCATCAAGACAGATTATTAATTGAAGTCCACAATAGTTTTATATAGTTGGAATTCAAACATGCTCAGTAAGTGAGGCCAGATATCAATGTTGAGGAGTTACCAGCATTGTTTTCAATAGTGGGGAAAAAAAAAAAAGATTACTTTACTTCGTAGCCCAACAGGTGTACAAGCTATCTCATTTTATTTAGATCACAATGACATAAACTTGCCATCAGATACTTGACTGAATTGACCATTACAAAACACATCAACAATAAAACTTGCAAATGAGTCCCAATACCATTCAAATCTAACATACTTACCCTTCCTTAAGTTTCCATCCAAAATTTGCTTATGACGGAAAATAAGTGTATAGAACACCGTCTGACAAGTAGAGTAAAATGGCCCATGGAGACCTACATCACAGTAAGTGTTAGCCCCTGAATCCTGATTATCAATGTATTTAT